TCATCTGGAACATCCAGTCTGGTCATAAAATGTTATAAAACAGTTTTGGTGTTTACCGTATCTACTCTTCATCCATCTTGTACTGCTAAATCGCTCCAAGTGTTGGACTGTCTACAAGGTCTTCCTGGAGAGGACATAAAAGAAAAGCTAATGATAAAAATGGAGATACACAATTATTAAAAGGTAATATAAAATAAATTGAGTTGTTTTCACAAGTAAATCATAGAATCACAGAATCATAGAATGGTTTTGATTGGAAGGGAACTTAAAGGTCATCTAGATCATGCACTTGACCTTGTTGAAATTCATGAGGTTGCCACAGGCGTAACTCTCCAGCCTATCATGATCTCTCTGGATGGCAATGTAGGGATGATGAAAATATTCATGATAGCTAGTAAGAAATGGAGTCATATGGGCTGTGAAAACTGAGAAATTGTGACTCATATAACCTCAAATGCAAAGATAATAAAATAACTAGCTTGGTTTTCAAAGGCAACAGCATCAAATTTTCATGTTTGTAGCCACTTGCCTACTCATAGTTACCCTCCATAACATTGCAGTTTACTGGCAAATTTCAGTCAGGTTTAACAGAGGTAGGAATTTGAAAAAAACATTATACAACTCTGAAAAAAATCAGTGAAATCCAAGTTTATGTCTGTTGTGGGGAAGGTAGGCAGGACTCAGCGGCTTCAAATTCTGCTGGTTGCCCCAGGCAATGAGTGCGTGGCAGGGAACCCCAGCCCTAGTCTCAGACCTAGCTCTAGTCCTTGCCCTAGCCTCAGCTCTTCTCTCCTGCCTGGTAGGATTCAACCTGGAGGCTGTGGAGTAAAAGTTTGGTTATTGTGGTAAGGAGAGACATAAATCCTTAGTAAACTAGGCTATCCTAACTCCACTGCTTACAGAACAGTTTCTAAAATTTTCTGCTTTGTCTTGTCTCCATCATAGTGTAGTTAATGTCACCATGTTTCCTCTGAGTCATTTCTGGTTTTTTTTTTCTTTTTTTTCTAGGAGTTCCATTTGGAAAAAAAGTTCATGACTGTTTGTACTATAAAAAAAAATCATGTGTGATGTGAATCAGTACCGTGCATTGAAATGGTGTTCTTAATTTGCATTAGATTAGAACAGAGGGATAGGCTCAGATTTTTAATCTCATTAATTTATTCAGGCCACTTTATTAGTTGGACACTAATGAAGTCGATGACTGTTTGTCTATAGAGGTGTAAGATATTAAATCATGCAGTACTGGAAGGAGTCAACATCTGATTAAAAATAAAATAACAATACAGTAATAACTAATGGCATATTCTGTTCTGATGACAGACTCTCTGAAAGAGTTAATGTCTCTAAATCCGGGTATTTACAGCCTAATCAACTAGTGTCTTTATTTTTCTTTTAAGTTATTATGGTTTTTTCCTTTCATCTACACTTCACAATGATTTTCATTTTTTTTCAACAAAATCTTGGTAAATAAAATATTTATACATCACTTGATATAAGGAACAAAGAACTCTCTAATTTTTATGAGCTTTTAGCAATAATCAGTTTAAAACATTGTGGGAATTTCTGCATATAAAATCTAGTAAACGTGCAATTCAAAGTTCTTTAAAAAGTATTTTGAAGTTATTGTTTATCAAAAATCACAAGTAGTTTGAAATAAATTCATTCAGGTTTTTTCAGTTCAAATCATAAGGCATTATTGCCACAGGTTCTGATTTAGCAAAGATTATGATTATCGTTAGCGGAACTATGCACACACTACTCATATGACCAGAATTAATAACATTTGCACATCTTGTGCAATGAGGTATCACATTCAAAAACAATTCCTAGGGCCTTTCTTTCTTCTTCTATTTGAGTTGTTCTTGGAGGGAAATCTATGTTTCCTATCTCCCAGGCTTGTGCTTGCATTATTAGCTTAACATATCATACTACTTGATCTTTCTCCAATACTATGAATATCTACAGGGGTCTGTGAATTTGCATACATAAATATTGTATGTCTTTCACAGGTAGATGAAAGAACACACGAATATCCACACACAATTATCTACACATCTCAAATAAGTAGTATTTATATTTTATTTGATTTTTAAGCAGAAGATGCTCAGAAGGAAGGCTGGGAATTATCTTTGCCTTCACTTTCATATCAGCCTCTTGCAGCCTGAACGTGGGCTGTTACTCTGGCAAGTGAACCATTTGGGTCTGATTATCTCGGGCTGAACTGTTTGTTAAGACTTGAGGGTCTTGTATGCAGATCAAGTCATCAAGTACTCTAGTTACTAGGTTAGTATGCAAAAGATTAGTACTGCAGATTTCAAAAAGAAAATGGTGAGTCCTGACCTGTTTTGCTGCTTGACTATGCAGCTATATGAGATAACCACGAAACAAGAGCCTTGGTTTGAAATTGAGGGAAGAAGGTACAGTTCCCTTTCCAATACTGCCTTCAGACTCCCCACTAGTGTGCTCCCAGAGGTGTTGAACAACTCATACGGGGCATTTCAATGCCTGACATAACCTGGGGTTCCTGCTCAGGTGCCAGATGCATGGGAGCTTGCAGAGAGGGATGTGTGTGTTGACTTGGCCACTTCTCTTTGTTACGTATTACCATAGTTCTCCTTCCTGACATGGGCTCTCATTTACACTAATGCTCTTTGCCAAGAAGACGGTGAAATTCTTCACCAATACAGTCCAGAAAACCTTAGTATCTTCATCATTTACACTGTATTCCTTTTGAAGTTTGCATTTGATAACAACATCTGCCAGATGACATTCTCCTGCTTGCAGTTCAGTAGTAAGTAACAAAGAAAACATGTGAGCAAGCCACATCCACACAACCAAATCCTTCTGGATTACAATACATCTTGTGTTTACTTTACCTCAACTTTTACATTTAAAATTCAATTATCAAGGTTTGTACATGAAGAGTTAAATTCTTGAAGGCATATGAAGCAAAACCTGCATGAAGGAACAAGCACATCTGGGTGCTCATTAAAGAAATATGAGTTAAAATGGAAGGCAGAGTTAGTGGAAAATGAGAAGCATCTTCTAGGTTAGTCCTTGTGCTAGTTTTGTCTGGGATAGAGTTCATGTTCTTCATAGTAGCTAGTACATTTTGGATTTGTGCTGAAAACAGTGTTGATAATACAGGGATATTTTTGTTACTGCTGAGCAGTGCTTACACAGAGTCAAAGCTCTTTCTGCTTCTCAAATGACCCCACCAATGAGGAGACTGGGGGTGCATGGGGTTGGGAGGGGACACAGCCAGGACAGCTGACCCCAGCTGACCAAAGGGATATTCCATACCATGTGACAACATGCTCAGCATATAAAGCTGGGGGAAGAAGAAGGTGGGAGAGTTGGGGGTGATGGGTTCAGAGTTACGGTGTTTGTCTTCCCAAGTAACCTTTACACATGATAGAGCCCTGCTTTCCTGGGGATGGCTGAACACCTGCCTGTTGAGGGCAAGTGGTAAATTAATTCCTTGCTTTGCTTTGCTTGCATGGCTTTTGCTTTACCTGTTAATCATGATTGAAGAGCTGTATTGACTGGAAATGTCTCACCAGGGTGGTAATGTCACATGTTATTCTCTAAAGAAATCTAGAGACCGTTCCCCAATCACAGACAGCCTGCTCTCCTTGGGAAAAGACCCAAAACTATTAAACGTGGTGTCAAAGGTGACTGAGGTATTACAGTAAGAGAGGAGGACTTTCTAAGTGTGAAATTGGCTTACCCTGTTTTGAAATCCTTAAAGAGAGGTTACAACTCTAGCAATGTCCTCATCCCGTTCATCAGTCCCCCAGGACCAAGCTAAGAGGGACAGTCTGGCAGGGAGGCTGCGCGCCTGGGCAAGCTGTCCTGGTGGCCTCATCCCCCACAGCCAGACCCAGGCGAAGGGTGGCCTTCACGTGAAGTCACAGTGTTCATCTCCAACCATGAACGGTATGGCTTTCCTTCCAGGCAACCACAGGCTTCTCATGTCAATCCACAAGCATGGAAGCAGCAGGAGATACAGTCCCTGCTCTGCTTCTTCTCATCCGCAGCCCCACCACCCAGCACTGTTAGCTTGTGTGTGGGCTAGACAAACTGTCCAGAATATCTAGCGTCATTACTGCTTGCTGTGCATACTTGCTGGCAATTTTTATTTGAACTGATTAATGATTAACAGGGATGGTCTGTTTGATCCTGTTCAATGGTACTGAAGAGAAGAAGGAGCAAACAAGACCAGATGTATGCAGCAAGATCCTTTTTGTAGCACTGTAAGTACCCTTTCAGTTTTTCCTTGGATTTTTTTGACAGTTCATTTTGGGGAATTTTCTTGTTGCCTGGGAAGGGAGTCTTTTCATATGTAAACAAAGGGATATACCTGTTATACAAAAAAATAAAAACATGTCAAAAGCCAGCAAGAATGGGCTGCTAGTGAAGAAGATGCTTCACATAATTAAATAAATATTTGTTTTGGAAACAACAGAGAAGACTAAAGATTTTTCTACCACAGTGATCCAATGTTGATCAAATATGATCTGTATTTATATCACATTTTTATTTAACACAGATTTAATTTTCTAATCACTTGATGAATTGAAGAAGTCTAACAGGGCTGCAGTGGCCATCCTACTGTACTGAGTACAAAACCAACTTCTATCAGTTACTCTGGGGAAAATGTCATAAGCTTCCAGAAAAAGGAAAAAAAAACCCAAACCCAAAATAACAACAGCCAACCAACCAAAAAAACCCACAGCCCTACCCTAGTTTTAAAAAGTTAATATGATCAAAATTAACTCTTTTAGGAGAGTACTTGGTTATACAAATAGTGTAACAGGAGGCATATTCTTTATGGGGATCACTGGCGTGCGTCAGGAAAATGAAATATCCAAGTGTGGGATTTTGGAGGTCAGGTGTGTTTTCAAAGCCTCATTTGACTTGGCTGGAGCACACAACATGAAGAAATTAATTTCTGTGCCACGTTTTGCATGCCTATCTCTTTTCCAGAAGCAGTTAAAAGGAAAATGAAGCCCAGCTTCTCCTTGTGTTTATTGCTGGCTGGTTTGTACACTGTTGCCTGGTGTCATCAGCATCCTCGTTACCACAATAAGCAGGATGATCCTAAAGGGACATATTATGCAGGACGCAGTTCTCATGGGGAAGAAGTTTATCCAGTTAAGAACAAAACCTTTGTCAAACTAGTTCTCAGCAATGCTGAATTTGCATTTTCATTTTACAAGCTGGTCGCATCCGAAGAAACTGATCAAAATATTTTCTTTTCACCCATAAGCATCTCTGCTTCCTTTGCAATGCTGGCACTCGGTGCCAAGTCGGCGACACTGACACAGATTTTGGAAGGGCTTGCGTTTAACTTGAAAAAGATTCAGGATCAAGAAGTACATGAAGGGTTTTGTCAACTCCTCCGCATGCTGAACGGCTCAGACAGTGATCTCCAGCTGAGCCTGGGCAATGCCCTTTTTATAGAAGACACACTAAAACCACTACAGAAGTTCTTGGATGATGTCAAAAGCTTTTATGAATCTGAAGTCTTTTCTACTGACTTTAACAACTCGTCTGGGGCTGAGAATCAGATCAACAGTTATATTGAGGAAAAGACAAATGGGAAAATTTTTAAACTAGTGGAAAACCTTGATCCTCTCACTGCAATGGTTCTTGTTAACTATGTCTTCTTTAAAGGTAAGAAATATCAAAGGGTGCAAAGATCATAACTTAGTTGTTTTCTGCTTATAGCACTAAATGAAAACCTAAGAGAAAGAAGCTGTGGTTTAAATATTCTAAATGGAGAAAACCATGTTCAGTATCTGGAAAATATTCCTATAAACCCATGTATATTTATTGTCAATATAAATGTTTGTGTCCCCACCTGATTGAGTGAAACACTGGGTTTAAAAAAAAATCTTTGTTGAGTTTGGTAAATTCTTTAATGTGATGATAGACTCATACTCTAGTAAAATATGGTGTTTTCAGTATTATCTGTCTTCAATTGTCTTCAAGCACTTGGGAAAAAAATAAAATAAAAAAAAGATGACCTGCCATGCTCTAACACCTGAGGGTGCAGTAATTTGAAAAAGATATTTGTTCTAATCAAGACTGTGGGACTAGATTCTGCTTTACTCACCATGACCATTCCTCTTTGTATTCCACTGAAGTATTTTTTCCTTTGTCATAAGCCCATTGGGAGAAACCCTTCAGCACTTCCTATACAAAACAGGAGGATTTTTTTGTGGATCAGAACACATCTGTAAAAGTCGACATGATGTATCGAAAGGGTTACTACAGAAATTTCTTTGATGAAGAGCTGTCCTGTTGGCTGGTTCAGATACCTTACAGTGGAAATGCTGCAGCATTATTTATTTTGCCTGACAAAGGGAAGATGAAGCAGGTGGAAGATGCCCTCTTGAAAAGGACTGTGTCTAAATGGGAAAAGCTCCTCCAAGACAGGTAAGTGTTTTCGCTAAGGTGAGAGGTGACCATGTTATAGATTTGTAGTGTTTATCTCACCATGACAAAACATTAAAGACCAGGTTATTTAACTGAACTCTACTGATTTAATGGTCCCTCTTTATGTGGGACTTCCCTTTTCTTAGTTGGAAATGAAGAAGAGCTGTGGGTAGTGAACAAATAGGGAATTGTACTTGGGATCTCTCTTGGGTTAAGTTCCTGCCTCAGCAACAAGTTGCTTAGCACTGTGATGAAGTTAACAGCCCCTTGTTTCATATGGGCATTAGAAAACTACAATGGAGTAGCTATTTCTGAGGTATTGGGTGTCAGGGTGTTGAGGGCACTTTATGTAGAAGCAGAAATTTTAATCATTCACCATTACGGCAGTTATTTCTGTGGTGGCCCAGGCCCTGATGTATATTAAAACACCTTTAGAACAACTAGTTGTGAACTTTTTAAAAAAATTTGCTACAGGGCAGTAGTAGCTCTGTTTGCCACAGAGTTGTTATAGTTGTTTCTTCCCCCCCATGTCTTGAACCCGGCAGTGGTTAACAGGGGCTTATTCTGCTTCAAACCTCCATGTCAGATAGCTAACCTGGTCAGAAGTGCTGTCTGAACCCTGAGTGCAGACTTTTAACATTTAGAAAAATAAATGTGAAGTGTTGCTATATGGAAGCCATTGAGGAGTGTCACCTAGATGACAATTGTCCCTATTTGTGTTATTTGTTACAGAAAAATACATCTGCACATTCCAAAATTTTCTATTTCTGGTACCTATGATGTGAAAAGGATAGTTAAACAAGTGGGTATTATTGACCTGTTCACTGAACAAGCTGATCTGTCAGGGATTACTGAGGAGCCTGGACTGATGGTTTCAAAAGTAAGTCAGCAGGTGAAACACAGTGACCGCAGACCTGTCTGTTCCCAGGAACCAGACATTAATATCCCATGAAAAGTTTATCCCATTCTCTCTGAAGCATCACTCAATCATCAACAGCTGACAGTCTGGAGGCAAAGCAAGCCCTATCTTTCCTAAACCTGAAGCCAAACACACGTACAAGGGGTTTTACATATATGGTTCCCTGATGAGGAATAAGACATACATATAATTAAATGTCCTTTTGGCTACTAAACAAAATTAACTAAAGGTAGCACATTAGCTTTGATAAAATTTCCTCTAATTCTGCTTACAGAAGGCAAAAGGCTGTTATTGCAGCCTTCCAGTACCTGAAGGGGCTACAAGGAAGCTGGGAGAGGACTTTTTACAAAGGCCTGTAGTGACAGGACAAGGGGTAATGGGTTTAAATTGAAGGTGGGGAGGGTTAGATTGGATGTCAGGAAGAAGTTCTTCACAGAGAGGGTGGTGAGGCACTGGAACAGGTTGCCCAGAGAAGCTGTGGATGCCCCATCCCTGGAAGTGTTCAAGGCCAGGTTGGATGAGGCTTTGAGCAACCTGGTCTAGTGGAAGGTGTCCCTGCCCATGGCAGGGGGGTTGGAACTAGATGGTCTTTAAGGTCCCTTCGAACCCTAACCATTCTATGATTTATGATTCAATTATTCTTGCCCTTCTAGTGCTCTCAAAAAGTTTTTTTTTTTTCAGCTAGATGATAGGGTAAATTCACAATAATACATGAAGCTGCCAAAGGCAAAAAAAAAGTCTAGGCTAAATTACCAGGTTCCTTTGCTTCCAGTTTCTTGCCATCAGTCATCTTGAGCGGTCTTTGGCTATCTGCTGTTTGAGGGTTACAGTCTGCACACACAGTGAAGAAGGCGAGCAGGTGTGGACTGATGGCTGATCGTCCTGTGGTGGGAAGGGGAGTGGCTGGTGATTACCTCCCAGAGCTCTCTTTTGGCAAGAGTGAGGAGGGTGGGAGGCTGCTCTCTTCTTGCTGGCTGGTCAACTGGAGGTTGTTTTGCTTTCTGTCCTTGCAGGTGATCCACAGAGCAGTGCTAAATGTTCATGAGAATGGCACTGAAGCAGCAGGGACCACAGTGAAGGAGATTACCTGGAGATCTGGCGATTTTCCTCATCCACCTCGAGTCAGATTCAACAGGCCCTTTCTCCTGATGATTCTGGATAAATACACTCGCACTGTCCTCTTCATAGGGAAAATTGTAAACCCTCTGAAAATGACTGATTGACCAGAGTATGTGCACTTATGACATTGCTGGCTAAATTCCTGTGATCCAGCAAGACATTGATGTGTACACACCATGTACTAGTGCTCGTCTTACAACCGTTATCCTTATACACATTATTAATGCCTTAAAACACAAAACACTTTTCCGTGTCAAAAAGTCATTGGTATTTCTCCCCAGACTATGTTTGGGTCTAGTTTGTAGCTTTAACAAAATGCAAGTCACTTTACATGGGTTTTATAAGAAGCCCTTTCCTGACACGCTCCCATGGGCAATTTGAGATGGTGTAAAGTCTCCTGGTGATGTAGCTATTGCTGTACACTCACAGTGTGTGTACGGGAGAGCAGAAGAAGGGAAACGAGGAAAAGGAGGTGGAAGGTATAAATCATGTCTGTTTAATCTACTAATCTTTGATGGCTAGTCTTAAATGCAGATTCCCTTAATATTATAGTGAATTTCTATGAATTTGTTTGGGCTTTAACCCATTATGGCATGAAGCTGCAGCATCAGTGACTGGGGCACTTTAGGACACACCATTGTAAAGGGTTGAGGGGTGCAGCTGGTTTAGCTTGCCTCCCTCTGTCTCCTCCTCAGTGAAAGTCCTCCTCATGAAGACAAGAAGGTTGGTTTTGCTTTACAAATGGTGTTTATTCTACTAATGAAGGAAGCCATATCAGCAAGAACAATTCCTGCTTTATCTTGCTGGTGTAGCTATTATTGCCAATGCCCTGAGATGAAAGTATGATGCAGTAGTCCGTAACATCAGTTTCCTTTTTATGTTTTTGTTGTCACTGCCATTTCTCCTTTCTCCTCCTGATGCCACCTTCACTATCACATTTTCCAGCTTGTCAGACTGTGGTGGAAAAGAGGAGGAATGAAAAATTATAACACAGAGAGTTTATATTTTCTTAGTAGGAAGAGCAGAGCTTTCCTAGGGACTGTTAACCTTCTTTAAACTATCTTAGACACATCTATAAAATGAAGGTAATATTTGAGAAGTCACCTTTCTGTGTATTAACATCAGATTACTGTTATAGAGTAAAAGCATACTTGACATTTATACCTTTTCACTTGTTTTCTTGAGTCTAACTTATTACTATTGTGCTGTTTTATAGTAACTCAGTTGATAGAATTTTAACATACCAGCTATACTAGATAGCAGTATGGTTATGAAAAGAAAGAAACACAGATCAGTAAATATTGAAATTACTTTATCATTTTTTCTTTAGTTTTTTAAAATCAACATCCTTAATGTATCTTATTAAAATATAGAAAGTCAATGAAAGTACTTAAATTACAGCTTGATTAAATATTTTGCTATAGAGTATCTCAAATCAGTCAAAAGAACTATAAATAGCAACTTTTTAGACTTCAGTGTCTTAAAATATCTGTGAAAAATATAAGTCAAAAACTATGGTGAATATTTCTAAAATATAATAATCTTTTTTGTTTTAGGGATCCTTATTTTCTTTGACATTAAATTAATAATATCATTATTAGAAAATTGTAGCTGTAAATATACCAATAAGGAATATAAGAACCTTTCTATGCCTATCTGCCAGTCATATAACACCTGACATTCACTCTCAAAATCACATAAACCAACAACAGAAGTTTCTTACTCATAACTGTATTTAGTCCGGTCAGTAACCGGACAAACAGTTGGCTTCATACCTCTAAGCATAAGAGGACTTGTTCTTGGTGTAATACAGATAAACTGATTCTATAGATCATTTAAAAGTTCTTGGCAAATCTCAGGGCTAATTCAGGACATGCCAAAGTCAAGCTTTGCAATGACTAATGGCTCTATAGGCGAATACTAAGGACTTTATGTTTGTTGTTCTGCACAGACCTCAGATCAATAGTCTCTGTTTGTTAGTAGGAAAAAAATATCTAAACAATACTTGGCCAATCAGATCTCACTTTGAGAGGTAACCTTGTTGCTTAACTTATTTGAAAGTGGGTGGAGAAATATCATGCTGAATTAAGAACTGGGTAACCAAAAAAAAATCAAAAAACTATTTTGGTGGGAAATATCTTCAGGTGGGTGTAGGGACCATATACATGTGTCTTGCCTTGGTTTTCTTTCTATTTTAAAAAAATCAGAGATTGACCCTAACTGAAAATGTGCAGTGGACAGGAAAATTGTGTCATAAATCATGAGTACAGAAGGACTGCACAACCCCCCAATTCATCATCATAAGTCCAACGCAGTCATGGCATGTTCAGGAGAGTGTTTCTTCTTCCAGTCTGCTGGGGTTTTACTACTTCTTTCCTGGATTTTTGTTTCTTGGTTTGTTTGCTGACTGCAAATTTCATGACCAAAACCACTCAGTAAAACAGAGGAAGGACTTTCTTCCTAGCTAGGCAAGAGTTTCTGCTGTTGTGTGCAAGTCCTGTTGTATTGCAGTCTAAAAGCATGAATAAGCCTAAAAGCATGAATAAGGAGCTGAGAAACCAGGATTAATACATGATGGAGATACATTTAACCCTTACCTACAAACTACGTGAAGTCCAAAAGACATTGGAAGAAAACTAGCAGCAATTTTGAGTAGTACTAAAGATCATAAAAGAAGGAACAAGCAAAAAGAACTGAAGGGTATACGGGTGTGGGGGCAGAGAGGGAAATAATATGTTTGAACTAAATCAAGGAAAATAACATATTTCAAACAGCCAGTTTTTAGCGCCAATGTTCACGTTTGTCATTGTTCCCAGTGCTGTGTTGCATCTACAGGGAAGAAACCAAAGACATATAACTTAAGCAACAGCCTTAAAGGTCATGGGCTGTAAAGCAAATTGCATATTCTGCTGGAAAGACCTCCTAATGTTCTGTTAAACATAAATACAAATAAGAACCCATGTTGACACTGGTAGAACTCTTAATGGGTAAACCAGGATGTTTAATGAGAAAAATTCCTGACAAAGCTGAGGTACATAGTTCTGATGCCAGTCTATCTTCATCAGATGAGAGATATCATAGAATCATACCATAATTTAAGTCTTTTGCAAAATAATCACCTTTTAATTTGTTTTCTAATATATAAAGACTAAAAAGTCACATCATGTTAGCAATGTATTGCTACTGAATCATAGAATCATAGAATCGTTAGGGTTGGAAGGGACCTTAAAGGCCATCTAGTTCCAACCCCCCTGCCATGGGCAGGGACACCTT